GATGTGTGTGAAATCAGCATTCTATATTCTATATTATATAAGTGGTATGCATAAATCGCAACCAGAGATATGTGAGTGCGAGTGCGAGTGGCGCAAAACACGTTATCAAATCGAATGATGTCGCTATCGCAGCGATCGTTCCACAATTAATGATCTAATCGCCCAGGGATTCCTCGAATCCGATTCGAACGGAAGCAGCCAACCCAGTCCTTTTGCACTATCCACCAATATCCCATAACTACACGCGATAAAAAATGATCATAGTAACCAAATAAATTCTTTTGCAAATATTAAATGAAACTAACGGTATAGAATCAAAACTACAAAATCTAAACATTATGTAATACTATCTTATATAATATATAATACTATACCTAAATACATACTATATTATAAGACTATACTATAATACAGTATACTATTTAGCATTATATCTACTATAATATGTTATACTATGTAGTATTATATCTACTATACCATATAATAATTCTATACTATAATATATTATATTATTTAGTATTACATCTACTATACCATATTATTCTTTTGAAAGTTTCGGTATAGAATCAAAACTACAAAATCTAAACACTGTAATACTACAATACTATTGCATTATTTAATATTATAACTATACCATGTTTTATATTAGTATTTTATATTATTTTCATTATATTATCTATGTATACCTCGCTTGTATACCACATCTATTATATTTATAATACAAGGACTATAAAGACGTAAGCTATGGTTATTTCTTTGGGTGTAGCTAGTCGCATTCCTGGGCCCGTCCAGAGATTTCCTGATTTGACGCATTCCTGGGCTGTGAGTCATCCAGCTGAGTTGCCCAGCGGCATCCTTGAAGGCCCTTCGTGACTGTACGCTTAGAGTTGGGATCATTGGGCTGCTGCTGCTGCTGCCGTTTCCCTCGGTTTCTCGGCTTGGTAACTGGCTCGCATCGCGACTAGCAGTCATTAGCCTTTTGGCAGCAGTTCCTGGAAACTTCTGCGCACAGCGGCGACCTGCGCCAATGACCGCACTCAATGCCATTTGGAGAGAAAGAGCGATGAAACAGTTTTCCTGTTCTCGTTTTTCATTTCATTTTTCATTACTTCGTTTATCCTGATTGCGAACAGTGGACTGTGTCCTGATCTAAAGAGTCATTGACCCTGTCTCTCTGCGTTTCAAGTGCTTTGTTTTTTTCGATTTCCTAGGCAGTATATATTTTAGTAACCTGAGTGTCCTAAGATGTGCAGCTGGCAGCTCGATCTTGATTCGGGTTCAATGACTACTTACACTCAAAATAAAATTAACCCTAAAGTCAAGGAAATCGCCCTATTTTTGTCTTCAAGACAAGCTCGCCCTAAATTTTAGGGTCACATTTTTCTATATTTTTGATTTTTTTTGACGTCATATTTCTAAATTTTAGGGTAATTTTACTAAATTTAAGGGCAAAAATTTCTAAAAAGTAGGAAATTTTCCTAAAAAATAGAAATTAAAAACAAAACAAAAAAACATGTTCAATCATGATTTTTTTTTTAATATACGTTTATATTATGTACTCCTCCCTATATACATATGCAGGCGTTGTGAGTCTTGTATATTGTGAATGTTAAAGGTTATGTATTTATTATCATGTATTTGCGCTTGGATTTCTTATCTAACCAAAGCCAAATTTGGTTGTAAATGTGGACTACGGGACTGCGGAAGATTGGGAATGTAGAAATTATGATTAGTTAATATTTTATCTTCATGAAAAAAACTTACATTTTTACTTGTCCGTCGGTGAGAATCGAACCCGGGTCTCCCGCGCGAGGAGCGAACGGCCTACATACTGGGCCATTGTAGCACTTAAATTTGCTGTGGCAAACCGAGCATTGTATGTAAAGGGTCATGCGGAGAATACATTTGAATACTAATTGCATAATTTTGACCATTCGCGTTTTACTTATTTACATACATATATACTTATGTATATATTTATGCTATCGCAATTTATATTATGTGTAGTATATAGTAAATAGCTAAATATAAACCAAATTATTTTCGGTTTACCGCTTGCCATCAATAAAAAAACAGAATAAAAAAAAGAGTAAAAAAACAAATTTTAAAAAAAACTTAAAAAAAAAACTTAAAAAAAAGGTAAAAAATAGTTTGCTCTGGGACTCGAACCAGGGTCGATTCGATTTCTAACCAAGCGTATTAACCGTCTGCGCTACGAGTACAGCCGCCCGGCAGCTGACAAGTTCTGGCATTGAACATTTTGGTGTGCCAGAGCATGTGAAAACAACTATTTCTATTTTTTAGAAAAACTTTCTACTTTTTAGAAAATGTTTCTATTATTTAGGGTTAGCTTAATTTTAGGGTTAGGGCACTCATTTTTAGAAAAAGTGTTGCCAAAATATTTTATTATTTTCGTTTGCCTTTCTATTTTTCAGAAAATTATTTCTAATTTTAAGGGCATTTTTTCTAGATTTTAGGGTGATTTTAGTTCATGGTAACCATTTTCTACATTTAAGAAATACTTCCTGGATTTAAGGAAAACTTTCTTGACTTAAGAAAAATTTCCTTAGATTTAGAAATAACTTTCTTGTATTTAGAAAAAAGAAATTTTAATGGCGATTTTCTAAAATTTAGGGTTAAATTTATTTTGAGTGTAGTGTATCAGTATACCAATCTCTGTACCTGCCTCGTGGACAAGGGCTCTACTGTACAACAGATATGATATGATATTATATGATTTCCCTATCGATATTCCCTAGCGCGTGTTGACCTTGATATTTGCATCTTCACATTTGGCATTTGCATTCCGATTCCGATTCGGAATTGGAATCCCAGCTCTCTGGCTCGTGCCGTCTTGGGTCTAATGGAGTCCAAAACGAAGCCGAATCGCCTGACAACAGATCACAAGATCCCGGGTCATCCGTTCTCGGCAGTATTCTAATGTCGATTCGAAATTGAGCAGATGCAAATTAGTTCATTGGCCGCAGAACATGATATATAAATTGTTCAACCAGATGCAATTTGCATAAATATTTGTTAATTGTTTCTGGACACAACCGGATCATAGCTGTGCTCTGCCATGGGCCCAAAATCAAAATCAAAATCCCTGGGCGATTCCAGGTAGAATAAGTGGGTCAAAGGCATCGAAATTTCTAGGGTTTTCCAATGGGGCAACCTTCGACGACAACGACGACGACGTGAAGTCTTCTTGCTCAACTCGATGGAAATGCCGATCCAATTTGTTTGGGTCTCTGCGTTTCGAGTTGATTCCAATGACAATCACAATCACAACATTTTCATATGCATATGAATATTTCGAAATTTGACTGACTTGACTGTGCGTATTTTCCGTATTCGACGTCAGCCAATCCGAGGGTCGGACCTTGTCCTTAAGCCAAAAGAACCGGCATAACAGATAAATATTAAAAGCCAAGATAGCCGAAAACAAACAAAAGTTCAGGCGAGAGATACAAAACAAAAATCGAAGCCGAAACAGAAACTTCTGCAGAATTGATTACAGATGCATGCATTTGAATTTGAATTTTGAATTCCGAAAATGAGCTCAGGTGGGTTTCTGTCTCTGTTGTCACTTGATGGTTTATATCGTTATGTTGATTGTTAATATCGATTCTGAACTTGAATAAACGCTACAAGCCGTTGACGTCACACGCCGAAAACCCGTTCAACGGCCTGTGGGAGTTCCACTGGAGAATGAGGAGTAGGATACCAGCCCTCTGCCCCAAAAGTCCCCCGACAATCCATATCGCAAAATGCTACTCTCGAGCCCCGACTCTAGATCGGCGATAACTCGCTGAAGGCTTCGCTATTGACCCAAAATGCAAATTTGCATCGGATTTCGGTCTTTCGATTCCGCTTGGCCCGAGCTGCAGACCCGCGGATCCGCGGATGAGGTCTCCAGTGCAGCAGCTTCCGCTTTTGCGGCTCTGGGCTTACACTTTATAAAGCCGCCATTCACGCCTATCGATTCAAATCCATTTCCATATCGTATCGCAGTTTATTTCGGTTCAGCTTTGCTATTGTTGGGAAATTACATTTCCAGAATTTGGGATTACACCAATCCTTAAACTAAAATCAAATTTAAATTCGTGTAAGATAAAATCTACCTAATGTATTTACATAAGTAAAGAATTTATAATGCTTAATTTTAAAGATCTATAACACGGTATTCTTGTTTTTACACAAACATTATTCACTTTTTTTTAATTTATTAGGTAAATTAAGGTGAATTAAGGGTCTTAAGTGAACTTACTATGATAATAGTACTGAAGAGGAATTTAAAATGGGGGGATCTTTAAATAAACCCTTTGACGAGTGCATAAAATAAAGATTAGTTGTTATGGTAAGACTCAAAGAAATCTCTGGGTAAGCTAAGAGAAAGAGAGAGTGAGAGTGGCAGCTCGGATCTCGATCTCTTGAGTCCACTGTCTCCGTCTCCCCACTCAAACACAGTTTGGTCAGACATGTTCGATCGCATTGGGGGCTCGATGTTGGATCGGTGCTGCCGGTTCGATGCAACCGAGTGATAGTGGCCACTGAGCCGCCGACAGAGGCTGCGCTGCTTTGGTCTTCCAAGGGGGGAGGGGGGTTAAACTTGTTGAACTGTTTGGCGCTGCTTCGTCTAGAGAGCTCGTCGTGACCCGGGGAAGGGGGTAGGGGCTAGAGAACCCCCTCCCCCTCTTTAGGTTCCCAAGATATTTTTTTTAAAGGGGGGCTGAGGGGGCTGACCCTCTGCCGGCGTCGAGACGGCGTCCAAAAAGCCAGAGGCGGAGACCCCAAAAACAGACGTCGTCGGGCGCTCGGAGCTGCAGAGCTGCAGAGCTGAAGAGCTGAAAACACTGAAACTGAACTGAAGCTTCGCCGCATGCTAAAGCTAAAGCTGAAGCTAAAAACTGAAGCTGAAGCTGAAGCTGAAGCTGAAGAGCTGAGGCCGCCGAGAAGCCGAATTCGAATCCGAAGCCGAGACCGAGCGCCGCGCGCTTCGATCGCCGTCGATCATTCGTTTGGCGCTCTGCTCGCTCGCTCACTCGCGCGCTCGAAGCGGGCTCGAGTTGTTATAAAAGTGGCAAGGACATACGGTCGAGCCATTAGTCGAAAACTATAAACGCTCGACGCGAAATCGTCTCCGGGTCTCCGAGTCTCCGACACCGTAACTCCGTAGCAGCCGTAACCAAATAAAAGAAATACCCAATACCGTGTACCGATTTACCGACCCAAAGACAACACAATAAAATATAAAGACAAATTTTTTTTTTGTTCGGTCCTACAACCTACAATCACCCCCGAAAAATATTTCTACATATTTTTTTCAAGTGCCAGTCGAAAGCGAATAAAAGCAAAAGTGACCAATGGCCGCCGAGCAGTGCTGTAAATAAGAGACATCGCCAACTGCAGCCAGGGAAAAAAGCAATCCCAATCCGCTAGAGAACCCAGTTGAGATTGAAGTAAAGCAAGGAGCAAAGGAGGAAAGGAGCAACCATGCTGGCCGACTCGTACCTGATCAAGTTTCTGCTGCGCCAACTGCAGTTGCAGCAGGACGGCGATGCCCAGCATCTGCTGTTGGTCTTCCTGGGCCTCCTGGCCCTCGTCAGCCTGCTCCAGTGGCTGCTGCGAAACTACCGTGAGCTCCGCAAGCTGCCGCCCGGTCCCTGGGGCCTGCCCGTCATCGGCTATCTGCTCTTCATGGGCAACGAGAAGCACACCCGCTTCATGGAGCTGGCCAAGCGGTACGGGTCCCTCTTCTCCACGCGCCTGGGCAGCCAGCTGACCGTGGTGATGAGCGACTACAAGATGATCCGCGAGTGCTTCCGGCGCGAGGAGTTCACCGGACGCCCGGACACTCCCTTCATGCAGACCCTCAACGGCTACGGTAAGTTATTACCCACTTAGTCTATAATAAGGGGAAGAAAAAGTGATATAACTGGGGTCTGATAACCCATACATACTATTTGTATGAAATTAGTTTTTACTACTCTGTTTACTACCTGTTTGTAATATAAATACTGGAAATATTTCCCTTAAATCCGCTGCGAAAGCGAAAAGTTATCAACGCATCTGTAGAAGGGAGCCAAGTCCATATATATATATATATGTATATAGTACCTGAGATGTAGTGAGATTGTAAGGGAACAAGTAATGCATTAAATATTTAAAGCCCCCTATTAAGTGAAGAAATTCCATTGGCATTTCTTTGTCAGCTTATTTTTATTTTCTTTACGCTCTCTTTGATTTTCGATTTTCGGTTTTCGATTTTATATATATATTTTTAATTTTATTTTGATTTCGATTGCGATCGCGATCGCCTTTAGCTGCACTTTACTTTATACATATATGAAACACACTCAATGATAAGGCATTGCGGCACCTTTTTTCCTTTCCCGCTGGGATTTCTTTTCTGGTATTTTGTTTTGACGAAGTAGGGCAAGAGCCTACCTCAATTAAATGTGCAAAATTGCGGCATAAAAACAGAGCTTATCGAGGCGATTCCGTATCTCAAATTGCGCTTACCCATTTTTGCAGGCATTATCAACAGCACCGGGAAGCTGTGGAAGGATCAGCGTCGCTTTCTGCACGACAAGCTCCGCCAGTTCGGAATGACCTACATGGGCAGCGGCAAGCAGCAGATGCAGAAGCGCATCATGGTGAGTTGGGATAAGCTTGTGCTAATCCTCCCCAGAAACAGATGATATCCTCCTCTTTTCAAATAGACGGAAGTGCACGAGTTCATTGGTCATTTGCATGCCAGCGATGGCAAACCCGTGGACATGTCGCCCGTCATCTCGGTGGCCGTCAGCAATGTGATCTGCAGCCTGATGATGTCCACGCGGTTCAGCATCGATGACCCCAAATTCCGGCGCTTCAACTTCCTCATCGAGGAGGGCATGCGGCTGTTCGGCGAGATCCACACCGTCGACTACATACCCACCATGCAGTGCTTCCCCAGCATCTCGACGGCCAAGAACAAGATTGCCCAGAATCGCGCCGAAATGCAGAGATTCTACCAGGACGTCATCGATGACCACAAGCGCAGCTTCGATCCCAGCAACATTCGGGATTTGGTGGACTTTTACCTGTGCGAGATCGAGAAGGCCAAGGCCGAGGGCACGGATGCCGAGCTCTTCGATGGCAAGAATCATGGTGAGTTCAAAGGTCTAGACCAGTTTTGAGCAGTAGGGCATAGCCATGTCCATCTAGAACCCCCTCTGACCTTCCATTCCTCCTGTCCCTCGTCTTTCCAGAGGAGCAACTGGTCCAGGTGATCATCGATCTGTTCTCCGCCGGCATGGAAACCATCAAGACCACGCTGCTGTGGATCAATGTGTTCATGCTGCGCAACCCCAAGGAGATGCGCCGCGTCCAGGATGAGCTCGACCAGGTGGTGGGACGCCATCGCCTGCCCACCATTGAGGATCTGCAGTACCTGCCCGTCACCGAGTCGACCATACTGGAGTCCATGCGCCGCTCCAGCATCGTTCCCTTGGCCACCACTCACTCGCCCACAAGGTAAGCCTCTGTAAAGATTATTAGATTCTAGGCGGAGGGGTTTGAACTATCAGCAGATGGAGTGCTTACGCACTGGATGCTTTAGATCTACGCAAATGCCGCGAGGTCCGTTCATTCACACCAGATCTCGGCGATAGCCATTCATTGTCGTGGCTCTCCATTCAGCTGGCTTTTCGAGTGCGTGGCCCACTTTTTTAGCTGCAACCAGATTAGTGGCAGTGCGCAGTGGGCCCAGCCCCTGCCTTTAGCTGATAATCACCGATGCATCGATCACACAACTAATCACTTCCTTTCCTTTCTGCTCCTCCCTCTCATTACAATCATTTTAGGGATGTGGAAGTCAATGGGTACACCATACCGGCCGGCTCGCATGTCATCCCGCTGATCAACAGCGTTCACATGGACCCCAATCTGTGGGAGAAGCCCGAGGAGTTCCGCCCCTCGCGATTCATCGACACGGAGGGCAAGGTGCGCAAGCCGGAGTACTTCATCCCCTTTGGCGTGGGACGAAGGATGTGCCTGGGCGATGTGCTGGCGCGGATGGAGCTCTTCCTCTTCTTCGCCTCCTTCATGCACTGCTTCGACATCGCCCTGCCCGAGGGTCAGCCACTGCCCAGCCTGAAGGGCAACGTGGGCGCCACCATCACGCCGGAGGCCTTCAAGGTCTGCCTCAAGCGGCGCCCACTGGCGCCCACCGCCGCCGATCCGCATCACATGCGCAATGTGGGCGCCAATTGATGTGCTCGAAGAGCCGCTCCAGAGCACGGTTTTGTTCCTACACACACAAGAACCCACAAAAACACACACAAAAATTAACAAAAATGCTAAGGGAAAAAGTAAAAAAACTAGTAGTTATCCGCCCGTGGGAGGAGCAGTTCCCCAATCCCCAAGGATGTTAAGGAGCTAGGAGCAAAGAGAGCAGCCGGAAGCTGTGACTAAAACAAAACACACACAGAGGACTGCAACCAATTCTATTCTTTCACCCCCAAGAAGCTGTGTTCAACTAATTGTAATCTGTAATTAAATCCCTAGTTCTAGTTTTAGCCTAGTTACGTTCGATTCTACGGCTAATGTTAATGTTTTTTATTATTATTAATTATTATATTAATTACTAGTTATTAATATTATTATCGCTAATATTACGATATTGCTATGTGTAAAGCCAGCAGGCCGATTAAGTCTAGTTAGCTAACGTTCTTGTTTATTCCTAGTATTAGTGCTAGCTTAATGTCCAAACAACAAACAACAAAACAAACTGTGGTTTAGTCTTACAAGCACACATCAAAATAGGCAAACGATTCGAAAATAAAGAAAAACCTGTGAAAAAAACTAGAAACTATAAAAGCGAGCGAATAACCGGGGCAAATCACTTTGGAAATGTGTGTTAAAGGTCACGTAAGTATTCAAAAATGGAAGATTTTGATGGCAATCTTGGAATCCGTACACTTAATGCTGACTTACTCTATATTCGGATCAGTTCCAAACAATGCCATAGTTTTTAAAGGAATATAATATAATAGAGCAGACAGTATTTTAAAGTAGTTCATATTTCGGAAAGTAATTTTTCAAGAATTAAGCCAAATTCAGCTAAATCAAAAATGAATACATTGATTTTCTCATCTATTCTTTTGAGCTTAAACTCTAGTTAAATAAAAAGCTACTACAGTTTATTATGAGGACAAAAAAATGGACATTAAAATAAAGGTAATAGGAAAAGGTCGGACCAAAATTGCCTCAGAAAAACCAAAGGTAAGTTTGGCCTCTTAGACAAAGCATCCCCTTATAATTTTTTCAAATATTTACAACTATTTTTTAATGAAATATTTAAAAGAAGAACAAAAAAATGCTAAGAGTTTTTTTTTAAAGCTTAAATACAATTTTAAATGATAAATCTTTAACTAAATAATAGTTCTTAAATGCGTAATGATTATGTATTAGCCACCCAAAAGAAGAAAAAGATTAAACGGCCACCATTCACAAAAGTTTATAATATAATCGTAGGGAAATACAAAAAAAAAGAGTGCGATAAAATTGACAGGCAATCCCCGGTTCCTAGGCCACCGCTCCGTCAGGCTCCTCGCGCATCTCCACCGCCGGCAGCCTGGTGAAGCGCAGCCTGTGGGGGGCGGGGGTCAGGGTGATGCCGCTCTCGCCCTCCATGTCAACCTCGCAGTCCGCCGGCAGCTCCAGGTGGAAGCGCCTGAGGATGCGTCCGGCAAAGAGGGTGAGCATCATGCGGGCCATCTCGTCGCCGGGACACATTCGGTTGCCCGCCGAGAAGGGGATGAACTGCGGTGGCGCCGCGTAGGCGCCCTCGGGTGTGAGGAAGCGTTCCGGCCGGAACTCCTCCGGTTCGGGGAAGGCCACCGGGTCCATGTGGATGGCCCATTGCAGCGAGACAATCATCGAGCCGCGCTTAATGTGATAGTCGCCCATGGTGAAGTTCTGTTTGCTGCCATGCGGAATGCCCAGCGGCACAACACTGCGGATGCGCAATGTCTCCGAGATGCAGGCCCTCAGGTAGGTCAGCGGCTCCAGTTCCTCGAGCGTTGGTCTCAAGCTCAGCGGGAGGAGGAGCTCGTGCAGGCGACGCTGGCAGCGCTGTTCGCGGGCCAAGTAAAGGAGGAACCAACGCAAAGTGGCCAACGAGGTGTCCACGCCGGCGCCAAAGAGATCGGCCAACAGGTGGCGCAACTGGTCGTCGCAGGTCAGCTGCGATTCGCGATCCTGGTGGATGAGGAAGTGCTCCAGGATGCTCTGCGGCTCGTACTCATCCCCGTCGCTGTCCTCTTCGTCGGTTTCCAGCTCCTCATCGTTCTCCTGCGGCATCTGCTCCTCCGCAGCCTCCTCCTTCTCCTGCTCCTTTTCCTGCTCCCTCTCCTGCTCCCTCTCCTGCTCCCTCTCCCGCCGCCTCTGCTCCTGGCGCTCCTTGAACTCCCTCTGCCTCTCCGCCAGCCGCTTGGCACATGCCGCCACTATGTGATCATAGATGGCGTGCGTCCTGGCCTTGCCCTCCAGCAGAAAGCTGATGTTGCGCTCGTTCTCCGGCAGGTGGCGCAGCCAGGGCAGGAAGTTGACCACCCCCGAGACGCCAATCAGCTTGACGCCCTCCTCCTGCAGCTTCTGCAGGTACAGCCAGTCGGGATCGTCGCGCTTGTAGGTGATGCCGAAGACCAGGTCGTTGATTATGTTGCCCAGCGTGTGGTGCAGAGCCGGTTGCGGGTTCAATTCCGAGCCACAGCTCTGTTCCGCCTCAGCCTCGTAAAGCTGCGGGGGAAAATGAAGAGGACATTTGATAATTATCTATATTATATTGGATGTGAGATTTCAAACAATTGGAATTTAATTTTAGTGCTTGGCTAAAATTTAAAAAAAAAACAATTGCAATTTAATTTTAGTGCTTACTTATAATTAAAACGGGAATTTGAGAACGGAAGCCAGCTTTGGCTAGCCGAAGTTTTAATACCCTTGCAGATTTCACAAATGAAAATTTTACTAGAATAGAATTCTATATGAAAAAACAATATTTTGCTTTCATTAAATCATGCCATATTGGTTAAAAACAGGGATCGCAAGTAAGAATTACTTTTTTAAAAAAATTGACAAATAAGTCTTATTTTTCAATTTTTATTATAAAAGTTGACAAATAACTCTTATGCTTCAATTTTTATTATAAAAATCAACAAATATTTGTCAACTTTTATAATAAAAATTGAATTGAAATAACTCTTGAACTGTGGGGTACATTGGCTTAAAATTTATATATGTATAATCTACGCTTTAATACCTTTCTGTTGATATGCCATATGTCCCCAAAATATTTTTGATGATGTAAAAAATATTATTATTATAAAAAATATATCAACAGAAAGGTATTAAAGCGTAGATTATACATATATAAATTTTAAGCCAATGTACCCCACAGTTCAAGAGTTATTTCAATTCAATCTTTATTTTATTATAAAAGTTGACAAATAACTCTTATGCTTCAATTTTTATTATTAAAATCAACAAAATTGAAGCATAAGAGTTATTTGTCAACTTTTATAATAAAAATTGAAAAATAAGACTTATTTGTCAATTTTTTTAAAAAAGTAATTCTTACGTGCGATCCCTGGTTAAAAATGAACAAAACTTTAGATGTTAACTAAAAAAAATTAAAACTAAAATATTATTTATAAATAATATTAATATTTGTATATATATTTATTTATTTTAATTTAAAATACAGTTTAAATAGACGAATTACAACTTTTGCATTAGCAGTTGATCAGATATCACAAGGATATTAACATTTCAGCTAATTTTGAGGGAGCTCTGCTTTAATGATATATATTCTATCTCAAAAAATTCCAATTCTCCATTTTATTTAAATACTTATATTTATACAGGAGTTCGCACTGTCAGTTTAGTAGGGAAAAACGCGAAAACAAAAGGCTTAATTTATGCCTTGTGGTTTTTGCATGCGAACAGTATGAACACAGACAAAAATGTTATATGAAATAGTTTCAATTCTACATTATTTCATATCAATAAAAAGCCCATATGATTTTATGAAATCTATGATTTAAACATATCAAATTTATACTTTATCATATCATTTAAAATGCCAAATGTATTATTTTTTGAACAAATAAGATAAACATAATCTTTATTCATATCAAAATGATATAAAAAACTTGATCTTTAAAAAATATAAAATTAACCTGCACATATCAATCTGATCTTTTTATCAATTTTTTCAACATATGATAAACATAATCTTTATTTATATCAAAATGATACAAAAAACTTGATCTTTAAAAAATATAAAAAAGACCACCACATATCAATGTGATCTTTTGTCAATTTTTTTTCTGTGCAGTAAGTCAGTAATCACTCACCCGGACGCACTCGTCGACTCCCCGACCGATGCGCTCCTCCAGTCGGGCCCTCAGCTGCCCCGGTCGACGGGTCATGCCCAGGGCCTTCAACCAATCGATGGTCTCGCGTCGTGCATGCCGCCAAATGTCACCCTGGGCGCAAATGATGCCTGTGGAGAAGGTATAATCACCAGAGTCCTTAAAGGATCATCGCGTTAACTCACCATAACCACCCATAATGCCGTGCGTCAGGTAGAGCGGAGCCCTGCCGGTCATCACGTCGCGCCGAAAGAAATCCCTGACCAAATTGGCATCCGACAGGACGACCGTTCGCACCCTGCCCATCTTCAGCTCGAAGATGCCGCCGTACCGCTTGGCCAGCGCCTGGAGCGACTTGTGCGGCGCCCGGGCGTTCAAAAAGGGCAAATAGCCCACGAAGGGCAGGCCCCAGGGTCCCGGCGGCGTGACCCCTATAATGTCATCGTACTGGTGCTCGCACAGATAGAGGATCACCAGGATGAGCAGGCCGGGGATGAGCAGAAGGCCCAGGCTCTCCGCCGAGGGCATCCAAGTATCTGCTGCTGCTGCCGACATCACTTTCGTTTTCGATTTCGATTTCCGATCGCTCTCACTTTTAACTTTACTCACTCCTTGTTAGAGGTGTTTTCTTTCTTGGGTTCTTGAGTTCTCCTCCACTCGGCTCGAGTCCCGACGTCCAGTCGCCAGCAGAGCTCTGCGATTACTGGAATTTCTTTAGAATTTGAAACGAGTCTTCGCTTTGGCAGAAATGCAAACAGGGCAGCGGCGAGCTGTCAACGTCTGTCTACGTCAGCAACGGGAAGAGGAAGAGGAAGACGGAGGAGGAGGAGGAGCAAGAGGAAGAGCGACCGCCGAAGGCCGTCCAGACAATGGTAACATCGGTCTCGGCAATATCAATATCCCAGTTTGAATTTCGATTTCGGTTTCGGCATCGAGAAGAGGAAGAGGAAAAAAGAGAGTGCGAAAGTAAAATTTGAAAACTAAATCATTCCCTACCGAGGGTATTCATCATATGCACATTCATTACACCCACTCAACAGAACGTTGCTTTAGGATATCTAAATATACACAGAGAAAAACAAAAAGATTAAAAATAGTCATCAATTTTCCGTTCTGTGTTCATATCAAAATGATATTTTCGAACATATGAATTTGTACCATATTGATATGAAATCAAACGATTTTGTTAAGGAAATATTGATACGAAGCAATATCAAGTCCATATTGTTCCATTTTTTTTCTCTGTGTATTGATCTGTTTACACAAAAAACAAAAAACTTTTGTAAAATTAACCAATATATTACTCTTAATTATTAACTAAAGCAAAATGTAAAAATAATTAACTTTTTTGTATAGTTTTATAAGTATAAGTACACAGAGAAAAATAAGATCAAAAATAGTCATACATCGGGTATTTTTTCAAGCAATTTTGGTCCCATCTGTTTTCATATCAAAATGATATTTCCGAACATATGATTTTGTACCATATTGATATGAAAACATACCATTTTGTTATGGAAAAATGGATATGAAACAATATCAGTTCCATATTGTTCCGTTTTTGTCTCTGTGTAGTAAAATTTTGTGTGATATCTATAGATAATAAGCATACTGTTGGTTCACGCCGGGCTCTATTAGATATTTTATCATATATCATATCGCAGGGTATTCAGCGACCCTGCTGGCCCATCTTTTGAGTACCTAACTTCGGCGTTCTACAGGCAGATACATTTATTCGGTTACGGATACCTTTCCATTTCTATTTCTGCCACATTTGCACTTTTCTTGTGTATTCCTCAAAACCGCCGCTTGAATTTGGGTTTACCCCGCGTATATGGCGGGGTTTTCCCGGCACAGAGAAGAAATGATCATACAATCGAAACAATATAAGGATTATGGTCAAAAGAAGGAGCTTCTTTTGGTTTGCCCGGGGATTTCCAGCGGCGGCCTGGACAGTCTGAGTCATGTCAGTGCTGCAACTTCTGGAAAGGAATGGCGAATGGAAGGGGAAGTGGAAGGGCTCGCGCGACTGGAAAAAACAAGTTCAGGGCCAATGGCATGCGCTAAAATAGATCCGCCGGCCATTGACTCCTCCTCGCGACGGGGACTGTGGACAAAGGAGCAGCATCAAGATCTACGATCACTGAGATCGCCGCTTTAGCCTTAACTTTAAATTTACCTGTACATTTTAATGACCCGCCAGTGGCAACGGACTCTGGGATCTGGGATCTGGCTGCGTGCAGCGGTCGCCGAACCTTTCCATTGTCCAGACACTAGGTTCCCCATCTACACATCTACACATCCCATCCCAAACAATGTTCTTGAGTGGCAGACGGTTCAACAGACGCCAAGATCATTGGCCTGTCGGGGCAACATCCTATGGCAAAGGGAAAGGTAAAGGACATGAACCCAGAGGCGAGCGGATGCAGCCTGTCAACGCGGCCTGAATTATTTTTAAACCCTTTGACTTCGGCTTGGCAGTGCACTATGGGCAAAAAATTCGAAAGTGAGGCATTTTTACATTTTTTTGTTCTTCAGTATTACATAAATGACCTTCTGTGGTTATTTACAATACTTAAAGGAACCTAAAATCCATTTTCAAAGAATTTTATTTGGCGTTTTTCGCTATTTTTTCCCTTAAGAAATTCGAAAGTTTGAAATAGGGTCACACGTTTACAAAAAGGGACGAAAAACTTTGTAGTTTTCACACCTCGATTTCTTTGGTTATTGTAAGCCAACCAAAAAAGTTTAAATATGGATACAAAGAGTGAAGGATTGTTAAATAAATTATAAACACTGAATGTTTATTATATGTGTTTTTTGTCCATTTGTTTAATGTGTTGTCGCTTAGTTTTTAGATGAAAAATAAGAAATGTATTTTTGCTTTCTGTGAAGTGTAAGTTGTGAGTATAGGAGAGTATAGGCAAGGTAAAAATAGGAAGTTATAAACAAAACAATTGCTAATCGAACCATATCAATACTTTTTGCACGTTTTTGCACGTTATACGTAAAACCTCCATGTTGTAGTTGCATTCGAGTTCTGTCACTACACATTGCTTAATGTTTGTATCGGCAACAACCGGCAACAAACCGCTGTGATGGAATTTGTTTTGCAAACTATGAACGGAATCGAATTAAGCGATAGTCAGCACACAATAGTCAAAAAAAAATTAGGCAGATTGTTGCCTTTTTTAGTCGTAATTTGCCAAAATGTCATAGAATAATAGACCGATTCAAGGAAGAACATTTCCTGCGGCTTTCGTCGAACATGAAAATTTCATTTTTGGAAAAGGGCTTGCCAAGCGACAAACCTGGTCGCAAATGCCTAACTTCTAATGAGGCAGGACCACGATTAAAGCGTAAGGTGGCATCTCAATTGGCGAAAGAAAAAGAAAATTCGATGCCATTAATTTGGCATGGTGCTTCTATTTGGCAAAAAATATCAAACAAGAAGATACTTCAGTTTTGTTGCGAAAGGCGTTAAATATGAAATATTTATTAACAAATTCATTTTTTTTATATCCTTGCCTTTAAAAGTAAATATGCGGCGTTGGCGGTTGATGGAGACTTGGTCCAATTCAAAATTTAACAAAAACAGAAATTGTATTACAGTTACCAACACAAACAACATTTTCTTTAAATCCTTGCCTTCAAATGTATATCTGCGGCGTGGGCGTAGGATGAAGATGTGGTCCGATTCAAAAAGCAACAAAAACCGAAATTACATCTTAGCCTTAAAAGTATATAACAAAAATTTTAGATTTGTATCTTTAAAACTGGAGTTTATGCCTCAAGGACTGAATATTTGCCCATAGTGCAGTGTGGCGAAATAAAAAAAAAACGACAAAGAGACTGGGACTGGGATAGCACCTAATTCGGAAACGTTATAATTTAAAAAAAAAACTATTAACTTTGGGTAATTCTAAAGTTCTAAAGGCCGTCTTATAGGGTTTCGAAAATAAGTAGTTAAGAGTTATAAAAAACATGTTCTAAACATTCCATTCTAGCGATCTTTTATTAAAAACAAATTGTTATCAAAATTACAGAATTGGAAATCGAATTTGAATGTTTAGAACTTCCAGTTATAGCATTTAAAATACATTTTAATGAATTATTTTAACTTTTTCCACAAAGATCAGAACAAAAATTAAAAATGTCCAGTTATAGCATTTAAAATACATTTTAATTTACTATTTGAACTTTTTCCACAAGGATCGGTACTAGAAGATCCAAAAAGAGACTCATCCCACAGAAAGCGAACGACGCATTTTCACTCATGCTGATATAATGCGTCTAATCAGCGCATTGCTCACGAAATTTGGAATTCGGAGTCCGGAGAAGTGGAAATCGAATCGAATCGGGGGCACCTCGTGGTGACGATCGCCCAGCTCACGTGGCGTATTCGCGTTCTCTTATCAGGCCACGGGTTTCGTCAAGCGTTTTCCATTGTATATGTGGTTGCAACAGCATATTGATGATAGTGAAGGAATGGGAATGGGAATGGGAATGGTAATGGGAATGGGCTTTGTTCCTCCTGTATGACCGCATCCGCATCCCATCATGTTTACTCTTAGCACACCCCATACCAAATATTTTCGAAAGCGCTGCCTCCCTTCTCCCTTCTCCCGTCTCTACCTCCACCCAACCTCTGCCGCTACTGCTGCAGTGCAGAAAAATGTGTCAAGGTAGTTTGCATGCTTTATTTTTTTTAACCCAATTCCAATGTTTATACACTCATCCAATATATGTGTTTGGTTGCCTTTTTTTGCGCGCGCTGCTTCTATGCGATGCGATGCGATGCGAGGCTTTATGGCACGCGCCGCGAATGGAATGGTAATTCAAGACTTCAAATGTGCTGTGTCCGATGGTTTAGCGACATTAATGGAGCATCTCGCATTTGGTGGCAAAGTCCAAGGTTGAGACCCAGAACCGAGCTGGCCAGGCCCTCGTCTGCTCTTTCGCCCGGAGTCAGCGCTTTTCGGCGAGTCGCCTTCTGGATACCCCATACCTTTCACCTTCGCAATACTGGAGGCAGTGCATCAGTCAGTCGGCGGTGGCAGCGGTGGAAGCCACAGCGGAATGCGCCGATTCGTCGCTTACATTTAAATCAATCCGTAGTCTGTTCAAGAAGACACCTGAGTAAAGTCAGCTGCCTATGGTCATCCGACCCATCTCTATTCTTTTTTTTTTTTAGGTGAAGGGGGCCTGAGTGCATCTGGCGTCTCCCAAAAACTGCGACTTCAGCAATTAGTGGCTTTGTTTTCTGTGATTTGTGTGATTTGCGGCTGTGTTTGCACGACGGACGGACAGACTTACGGACAGAAAGACGGACGAACGGACGGATGTGATTGGCGTACAAAATCGAATACGAATTTTTCAGATACCTTGACATCTTTCATAGGCCAAGCGAGCGTTCGTTTAACCCATCCAACCGACGACTATGGCTATGGCTGTGGCTATGGCTGCGGCTACGGCAGCCACCCAAAGAACGTGCCAGCGGATTCCAGTGACTGCATTCTGCTGGGTCTTAGAACAACCGCAGCCGGCGCAGCGTTGGCGATAAAATTAAAAGAATTTACATTCGGTCACATTTTCATTTCATTCTCGGTTTCAATGGCCGCAGCTTCGCAGATTGCGATTCCAATTTTTATTTGAGTCCGAAGCTGGAACCATTAAAACCTGGCTAGAA